CTTTTCAGGTCGGGACCCTTCTTCAGAAATGGGGTGGGGACAGGGAGCTCCGAAATAAATAGAGAGAGTAGGAGTGGGGCTGAGAAGGGAGGTGGGATGGTGATAGGTGAGTGCATGTAGAGAGTGGTGGGAATTGGTCAGTGAGGTGGGAGGGGCAGATAGGTGGGAGAGAAGATGGATAGGTTGTGTCAGGTCAAGGAGGCAGCAATGAGAGGAAGGGTTGGACATGGGATAAGGCCGAGGGTGGAGAGATTTTAAAACTGGTGAAATCCACGTTTAGGCCATTGGGATGTAGGGTCCCGAGATAGTATATGAAGTGCTGCTCCTCCAGTTTGTGGGTGGCGTCATTGTGACATTGGAGGAGGCCCAGGATGGACATGTCACCCAGGGAGTGAGAGGGGAAGTTAAAATGGCTCGTGACCGGAAGGTGTTGTCATTTGTCAGATACAGAGTGCAGATGCTCAAAAAACAGTCTCCGAGTCACCGCTTGGTCTCACCCCGATGTAGAGGAGTCCACATCAGGAGCAGCAGATGCAGTAGACCATGTTGATGGATGTGCAGGTGAACCCCTGTCTAATGTGGAAGGTTTGTTTTGTGCCTTGAACGGAGGTGAGAGGGGAAGTGTGGGGCAAGTGTAGCACTTCCTGCGGTTCAGGGAAAGGTGCCGGGGGTGATAAGGTTAGTGGGGAGTGTGGAGCGGATGAAGGAGTGTTGTGTGATTTTTGACCTGTTTCCAATAAGATACAATCTAACAGTGGCCTATTGACATTATCATCACAGAATCCACAAACAACATCCTAAAGGTTACCATTATCCAGAAACTGTCACCTTCTGACACCCCAAAATTTGTCCAGCATCCACAAGGCACAAGTAAGGAGTCATATGAAACATTATCTATTTACTTGGATGAGTGTAGCTCTCACAACATTCAGAAAGCTTGATACCTTCCAAGACAGAGCTGTCCATTTGTTTGGCAACACATCTGCAAAGATTTACTCCCTTAATCACCAATGGTCAGTAGCAGAAGTCTGTACCACCTACAAGATGCACTACAGCAACTCTAGGCTGATGTGACAGCATTTTCCTAACCCCATGACCAGTAGGACATCTAGAAGGACAGGAGCAACAAATACATAAGGGCTGTACTACATTCAAGTTCTTCACCAAGCCATTCATCATCCTGATTTGGAAATATATCAATGTTTCTTCAGTGTGGTTGAGTCAAAAGCCTGAAAATACACCCATCAGAACTGTGACTGTACCTAGGCCCCAAGGACTGCAGCAGCTCCAGATGGCAGCTCACCTCCACCTTCTCCTGCATAACTAGGGATGGGAAATAAATGTTGGTCTAGTCAGCAACTTCCATGCCCTACAAATGAATTTTAAAACTTCCATTCCACCACTGCCTGTCTGGGTTGCAGCTCTTGTAAGTTGAAAGGAGAAAAACACCGAAGTAGAGTTATGGTCATTTTTAATAGGCAGCAGGTGGTGCAAGGTTACAATGTGCACAGCTCATAAATCAGGAAAGAATGTGGGTCAAGAGCAGGGAGGAGTGTACAGATGTGATGGTGGGATGTGAAAAGATGGATTCGATGTGAAGGTGGATTAGGTATGAACATACTCTCAGCTTTGATAGTTTCATTTTCATTGATGCCCAAAGGCTCAGTCATGGCCGTTACACTGGTAGTGAGAACCATCTCTTCCATAGATAATCTAAATGGGTGGTGTTGAGGAGAATCACCATGCTTTTCCTCATTGAGTAGCTTCTGCTACCTGTGACCATGCACAACCTTGTACTGCAAGGAAAGGGGATGTTTATCAGTGAATATTGTGCAATCCTTTTGGGCAATGTGGAGCTACTGGTTAAAAAACTGGTAATGTGCGCAAACTGTGTTGAAGCTATGACTGTCGCTTATGAGTAGTGATTGTTAAAGGGTGTTGCTAGGTGCTTGATAGGGCTGTAGTGCATTGAGCAGTGTATGAGGTTATTGTTCAGTTGATGGGAAATGTCTTTTAAAGATTCATTTACCAACATTGACCACTTGTGTGAGATCATTGAACTTCTTGTGATACTGCAACCAGGATCCTCAGAGCTAGATCCATAGCATTGTCTGCCATGCTATCTGTTCCCACTGCCATTGCAGTATCTTCCTTTAAGACATTCAAATCCCCATGGATAGACAACCCCTCTTCCACCAAAAGCAAGTCAGACTGACTTAGTTCACACTTTATCCTGTTATGATGTAATACTGCAGCCTTCTTACTCATGCACACTTCATCAACATGTTCCAGCATCTGCTGCAGCCACAATTCACCATCCTTTGAAATGTACAGGTAATCTTCAAGTGTCACTAACCACATGTTACCTTTGCTTCCTTGTTGAGGTACAAGGTCAACCAACAGTGCTTTCAGCTTTGGTTGCATGGCACAGTACTGATAATTCACAAGCAGCCTACATCAGAACCATGGGCACCAGTTCATTTCATATTGCAATATCTGTGTCCATTTTTAGTCCTTGTCTAATTCTTCTACCTTTATGATTTATTAAAACTCATTCAAAAATCATTGAAGCAAAATGTTATTGTAAATCTTTCATAGCAACAATGATCTGGTTTCATCTTGACGAAAGCATCATTTGAAGTGAAGAGGAGAAGAGTATTAGGACAGCTTCTTAGAATGACTATATTCATAGGCATTGACTTTCCCTTACATTGACTTCATGATTCACAGCTATAAATTATTGAGGAATTAGCAGCATGAACCAGCAGACCTCCACTCAATGGGTCATCAGAGTAACATTCTTCTAATTTATGGCACGACATCATGGACTTCTCTGTCCTGTTCTGAAGGCAAGGCGAAGGGGAAAGTGTTGCCCAATTCAGACCAGATTTTTTTTTAATTCATTCATGGGGTGAGAGTCTCACTGACTAGGCATTCAATGCCCATCCCTAAATGCCAGGAAGACAGTTAAGAGTCACCCACATTGCTGTGGGTCTGGAGTTACATGTACACCAGACCAGGTAAAGATAGCAGTTTCTTTCCCTAAAGTGCATTTTTCCAACAATGAATTCAATTGTGTCTGCATTTTATAAATGAATCCTGCCCTCCAATCCATGTTTTATCTTTCAAACCAAAATTTCACTGACCTCATTGGACATTGGCATCAGTATTGGGGAAGGAGGAAGTTGTTCCGATGGGATGGACTCTACTTGAATCATGCTGGGACCAGAGTCCTGATGAATCACAAAGCTAGAGGTGTGGATAGGGCTTTCAACTAAATAGTTGGGACAGAAGGTGGAGGCTGGGGGATGTGGCTTGGGGTGGGGTTAGGGGAGGTTCTGTTGCATGGAAAATTATGTAAAACCTAAACAGAGAAGAGCATAACAGAGATTAGGAAAGTTTAAAGAACAAGTAACAGGACAGAGAGTATGGAAAGGGTCAGGAACAGCAGATGAGCAGACAACTAGGAGAAAGGGAGCAGTCAACACAGGACTGGGGGTGTTGTATTTAAATACACACAATATTCAAAGCAAGGATATTCAGCTAGTAGCACAGATTGAAATTGAAATTATGTTGTGGGTATTACGGAGATGTGGCTGCTAAGGGATCAGGGCTGGGAACTAAATATTCAAAGATACATATCCCATTGAAAGGACAGACAGATGGATAGAGGTAACCAGGTGTAGAGCTGGATGAACACAGCAGGCCAAGCAGCATCACAGGAGCAGGAAAGCTGACGTTTCAAGCCTAGACCCTTCTTCAGAAATGGGGAAGGGGAAGGGGGTTCTGAAATAAATAGGGAGTGAGGGGGAGGCAGATAAAAGATGGATAGAGGAGAAGATAGATGGAGAGGAGACAGACAGGTCAAAGAGGCTGGGATGGAGCCAGTAAAGGTGAGTGTAAGTGGGGAGGTAGGGAGGAGATAGGTCAGTCCGGGGAGGACGGACAGGTCAAGGGGGCGGGATGAGGTTAGTAGGTAGGAGATGGGAGTGCGGCTTGAGGTGGGAGGAGGGGATAGGTGGGAGGAAGGACAGGTTAGGGAGGCGGGGACAAGCTGGGCAGGTTTTAGGATGCGATAGGGGGAGGGGAGATTTTGAAGCTTGTGAAATCTACATTGATACCATTGGGCTGCAGGGTTCTCAAGCGGAATATGAGTTGCTGTTCCTGGAACCTTCAGGTGGCATCGTTGTGGCACTGCAGGAGGCCCAGGATGGACATGTCATCTGAGGAATGGGAGGGGGAGTTGAAATGGTTTGTGACTGGGAGGTGCAGTTGTTTAGTGCAAACCGAGCGTAGGTGTTCTACAAAGCGGTCCTCAAGCCTCCGTTTGGTTTCCCCGATGTAGAGGAGGCCACAACGGGAACAGCGGATGCAGTATACTACATTAGCAGATGTGCAGGTGAACTTCTGCTTGATGTGGAAAATCTTCTTGGGGCCTGGGATGGGGGTGAGGGGGGAGGTGCAGGGGCAGGTGTAGCACTTCTTGCGGTTGCAGGGAAAAGTGCCGGGTGTGGTGGGGCTGGAGGGGAGTGTGGAGTGGACAAGGGAGTCACAGAGAGAGTGATCCCTCTGGAAAGTAGATAAGGGTGGGGAGGGAAAAATGTCTTTGGTGGTGGGGTCGGATTGCAGATGGCGGAACTGTCGGAGGATGATACGTTGGATCTGAAGGTTGGTGGGGTGGTACGTGAGGATGAGGGGGATTCTTTTTTGGTTGTTATTGGGGAGGGGGTGTGAGGGATGAATTGCGGGAAACACGGTCGAGGGCATTCTCGACCACTGAGGGGGGGAAGTTGCGGTCCTTGAAAAATGAGGACATCTGAGATGTACGGGAGTGGAATGCCTCATCCTGGAGCAGATGCGGCGGAGGCGAAGGAATTGGGAATGGGGAATGGCATTTTTTCAGGAAGGTGGGTGGGAGGAGGTGTATTCTAGTTTTAAAGCAGCTGGAGGACTGAATAGCTAGGCTTCGCCTCAGAAAGTAAAGTTGCAAGTCACAAAGATGCCCAGCGTGGGGCTCGAACTCATGACCTGAGATTAAGAGTCTCATGCTCTACTGACTGAGCTAGCCAGGCTCAAGTTTGCCTTGTTACTAAGAAATTAAACTAATTTGATGGCAAGAAATGAAATAGAGCTGGATGGCATAGAATCTATGTGAATAGAGCTGAGGTACCGTAAAGGAAAAAAGACCCTGATGAGATTTGTGTACAGGTCTCCGAGCAGTAGTAAGTATGTGAAGCAGAAAATAAATCAGGAGATAGAAAAGGCTTTCAGAAAGGCATTATTACAATAATCATGGTGGACATCAATATATAGGTGGAGTGGGAAAATTAGGTTGGTAGCAAGTCTCAAAGAAGTCGTGGAGTGTCTACAAGATGGTATTTTTTGGAGTAGCTTGTGATGGACCCCACTTGGGTGCAGACAATTCTGGATTTGATGTGTCATGAAGCAGACTTGATTAAGGAGCTGAGTGTGAAGGAATCTGAAGGGGTCAGTGACCATAATATGATAGAATACATCCTTTAGTTTGAGAGGGAAAAGCTTGAAATAGATGTAATGGTATTACAATTACAAGGTAGCTACAAAGACATGAGGGATGAGGTGGCCAGGGTTAATTAGAAAGGGGTCCTAGCACAGAAGACAGTGGAATAGAAATGGCAGGAGTTTCTGAAGGTAATTCAGGAGGCAGAGCAGAAATTCATTCCATGGAAGAAGAAAAATACGAAGGGGAGGGCGAGGCGACTTTGGCTGATAGGGGATGTCAGGGAAAGAATAAAAGGAGAAGAAAAAGCAAACAATGTGGTGAAGAATAGTGGGAAGCCAAAGGATTGGGAAGCATTTAAGAACCAGCAGAGAATAATTAAAAAACTTGATAAGGGTGAGTAATTAAAATATGACAGTAAGCTAGCTAGTGACATCAAAGTAGATATCTAAAAGTTAATAAAAGAGGCAAGAGTGGACATTGGACCACTGGAAATGAGGCTGGTGAAGTAGTAATAGTAAATAAAGAAATGGCAAAGCCACTGAATTGATACCTAGCATCAGTTTTCACAATGGAAGACACCAGCAGCATACCAGAACTTCAAAAGAATTGGGGGTAGAAGTGAGTGTAGTGGCTATTTGTAAGGAGAAGGTGCTGTGGAACCTGAAAGATCTGAAGATGGATAAATCACCTGGACCAGAGTTCTGAAGGAGATAGCCGAGCAGATTGTAGAGACATTGATGGTGAGCTTTCAGGAATCACTGGAGTCAGGGAGGGTCCCAGTGGTCGAGAAATGGTTAATGTAACATCCCTGTTTAAGAAGGAAGAGAGGCAGAAGACAGAGGACTGGTTAGCCTGACATCAGTTGTTGGTAGGATTTTAGAATCCATTATTAAGGATGAGATTGTGCAGTGCTTGAAAGTACACAGTAAAATAGAACTGAGTCAACACAGTTTTGTCAAATGGAGGTCATGCCTGACAAATCTGTTAGAGTTCTTTGAGGAGGAAACAAATAAGTTAGACAAAGCAGAGCCAGTGGACATGATCTATTTGGATTTCCAGAAGGCCACACAGAAATCTGCTAAATAAGATAAGAACCCATAATGTGGGGCAAAGTACAGGCTTGGATAGAGGATTGGCTGTCTAGCAGAAGGTAGAGAGTGGGGATAAATGGGGTCTTTTTCAGGATGGCATCAGTGACCAGTGGAGTTCCGCAGGGGTCCATGTTGAGGCCACAACCATTTATATTATACATTAATGACGTGGACGAAGGAACTGAGGGCTTTGTTACTGAGTTTGCAAGTGTCACAAAGATAGGTGGAGGGACAAATTGTGTTGAGGATGCAGGGAGGCTGCAAACAACTTGGACAGGTTAAGCGAGTGAATAAAGAAGTGGCAGATAGAATACAATGTGGGAAAGTATGAAGATATGCACTTTGGTAGGAAGAATAGAGGCAAAACTATTTTTAAGTAGGGAGAGGCTTTGGAAGTCTGAAGCACAAAGGTACTTGAGATTCTCTTAAGGTTAGCATGCAGGTTCGGTTGACAATAAGTAAGGCAAATGCAACGTTAGTATTCATTTCAAGAGGGTTCAAATACAAGAACAGAGACGTCCTGTTAGGAGTGAATCAGGTTCTGGTCAGACCACATAGGCAATATTGTGAGCAGTTTTGTGTCCTGCATTTAAGGATGGATGTGCTGGAATTGGAGGGGATCCAAAGAAGGTTGACAAGAATGACCCCAGGATTGAAGAACTTGTCATATGAAGAATGGTTGAGGACTCTGGGTCTGTTGTACTCGATGGAGTCTAGAAGGATGTGGAGGGATCCCATTGAAACTTCAATATTACTGAGAGGCCTGAATTAAGGGAATGTGGTGAAAATTGATCCACTTGTAGGGGAGACTACTATTTGAGGGCATAGCCTCAGGGTAAAGGGACAACTCTTTAGAACTGGGATGAGGAGGAATTTCTTCAGCCAGAGTGTGCTTAATCTTTGTGACTCATTGCTGCAGAGGGCTGTGGAGGCCAAGGTATTGAGTATATTTAAGACAGAGATAAATAGACTCCTGATTGGTGAGGGGATCAAGCGTCATAGGAAGAAGGCAGAAGAATAGGGTTGAGAAATATATCAGCCACGATCGAATAGCGAAGCAGACCTCATGGGCCGAATGGATCCTATATCATATGATCTTATCTTAAATCCTCTTTCTTCCAGTTCCTGATCATTCTTTATACTGTAATCTCAAATGTTTATACATGCCAATGTCTGGATGAGATCCACAAAACTGAAAGCTTCCCCACAGTCCCCAGCCTAACTCTATAAATCTCTATTATTATCACAGAGAAGTTGCTGGTTCCTTCTGTTCAAGTCTTTTCTCTTTAACTCAATTAGGAGGCTAAGGAATTACTGAATGTTACCTATAATATGATTGTTGTTATTCACAACTGCAGTGCTGACCAGGTACCCAGCGGAAAAGATGCAATATCTAAGGTTTTGTCCAACATCCAGTAAGGGACAAGGGAAAGGGTACACCCTTCTTATACCCCCTGTATAATCATCCTGAACCTGTGGAGGTCAGGAATCAGTTATTCCCTGAATGGTCAGTTCTGAGTGCTCAAATGCTTATATCACCCCTCGTGGATAGAGATTCTATTAATTGTTTCAAAATGCCCTGCTTCACAGTCACCAGATCCCCACGTATTCCATGTGATTGGTAAGCATCATCCAGTGTCAATATGGGCACAGAGCTTCAAGGCTTCTCGCTCCCCTGACCACTATGAAAGAAATCAAAAGCATTTTAGTTTCCCTTAATGAGGTGCTTTCCTATCAGAGTCTTGATAATCATGGGAATTCTGTAATTACAGCCTGTTATATTTTATGGCTTGCTGTTATTTTATTGCCTGTATACTGGACTCATATAAATACAACAGCTACAAGAATAGGTCAGAAGCTAAGAGTACTGTAGCATGTAATTCATCCCCTGACTCTTCAAAGGGCATCCACCATCTACAGAGCACTAGTCAGGAATCATAGAATACTCCCCACTTAACTGGATAAGTGCATCTTCAACAGCATCTTGACACCATCATGGACAAAGCAGCCCACTTCATGGGCATCAGATCCACAAATATCCACTCCCGCCACCACTGATGCCCAGTAGCAGTAGCGTATATTGTCTACAAGATATATTGCAGATGTTCACTGAAGATCCTTCCAAATCATGACAACTTCCATCTAGAAGCAAAAGAGCAGCGGATACATGGGAACCCCATCACCTCCAAGTTCCACTCCAAGCCACTCACCATCCTGACTTGGAAGTTTATTGCCATTCCTTCACTGTCACTGGGTCAAAATACTGGAATTCCCTCCTTAATAGCATTGTGGGTCTATCAATAGCACATAGACTGCAGCAGTTCAAGAAGGCAGCTCACTTACATCTTCAATGATCTGCAATGCAACAAGGGATGGGAAATAAATGGTGGCCAGCCAGCAATGCCCATTTCCCATGAGTGAATAAACAAATACTGTTTTAAAACATTCTGTAATGAAGTGAATTTGCTATAGCGAGGATCAGGCAAGCAAAGTGACCAATTTGACTTAACGTACCATATGATGTATGCATTCTTACAGCATGATAGACATAGCTACAATCCAAATATGCAGCTGAAAATTAATCAGTTACAGCAATAATTCAGACATTTCAGTCTGTCTCAATAAGAATCCTCATTAAGAATCACAGAATTAATCCATTGGCCTGTAACAGAGGGCTGCTGTTTTGAAGGATGCTTATGGGGGTCCACAAACTAAGCCATAAAGGAGTTACCTGGTTGCATGATAAAAGTCAAATTTTAAAGAACACATTAAGTTTATATTTACCAGCTTACAAAAAGTGTTCGGAAGAGAGGGAATTCCCATCATTGAAACCAATGTTACAATTCTACAATCCATGTTACAATTCTCGGTCAAGATGTAATTGAAGGCAGAATAAAGACACTATAAGAATTTGATCTAGTTTGTCAGCTGAATTGTTTTTATGACAGCATTTCAAATCTTCAGGAATGTTTTGTGTCGAGTGGAGACTGTAAGTATTTGCTAGTAAACAAGTGTCCCTTGTGATATTGGGGAAGATTGCTTTCTATGAAACAAGATTAATAAGCTTATTTTGTTGCTGTTTGATGAGATTTTTCTCCATGATTAAGGATGGGTTCTGATGGCTGCTGACAGTTAAATACATCATGTGAAAATTGCACACAATCAGCCAAGCTCAGCTTGCTTACATTAGAAAGTCAGGGAGCAACAGGAAAGCAGTAGAAAACACAAAGCTGTTGAAAAGCATTCACTCATCATTCTTTTTAAAAGGTAAATATAATATATTAATAATTGTGTTTTTTAAAACTTTGGTGAAGGGACATGGTTGAAAGTGCAGGTTTAGGAAAAAAAAGACAAAGAAAGCCCAGCATTTGTAGTCACGGCTTTTCAAAAAGAATTAGAAACTGAGGAAGGTAATGAATATCAAAACATTGACATCTCCAGAAGAATGATAGAGTTGGAAACAGTAAAATGCCTTGATTTGAGCAAAGCAAAAGAGCAA